GGTAGCTATCACTGCATTAAGTGACTGTTATACCATATTATTACTTCCCCTTCTATTCCTATTTAAAATATTTTTTTTAATTTTTAAAAGATTTGTTATTTTATTTTTTTAATTATTTATTTATTTTTCAAATACATTTGTCTCTGCCTTCCCCCCACTTAAAATGTTTTAAATTAGAAATGGAAAGACTTCATATTATTTATCACCTGGTTAATACCAAGCTTAGTTAATAGCAAGCATGTTGAATGGTAACAAAATTTAAAGTTTCATGAATTACAAGGACAAGGGTCTCCACTATCACCATTAGTACTGTACTTTATTCTAGAAATTTGACCAAATGGTATTAAATATCACCATAAACCAATTAAGGAAGTATTTGCAGATAATATATGAAACTATCTTTATATTATGAGTAACTGTGAAAAGATACTTTCCAATTGAAAAAATAATTGTTGAATAAAGATCCCATAAAATTATTGCAAGTAGAAGAATTTCACAGTGTGAATACTCAATCTTTTTTAATTACTCCAAGAAATGAAAATCAAAATAAGATATAATTTTTCATAAAAGACTGAAAAAAGTTAAAACAAATTCTTGGCATGAAGAATGTGTGAAAGAATAGTACTCATACACACTGCTGGTAAGTGTATAAAAGACAACAAAGATTTGGTTGTACAAAACAGAAACAAATAAACAGACAAACAATAATTCACATGTATTTCTTTTGAGTTAGCAATTCAATTTCAAGTTTGGTGCATCATTTAAGTAAATACTTTGTAGCCATTAAAAGTATTTGTCTTACAGAATTCCAGTGATGTTCACAATTCATGTATAAGTTTTAAAAAGTAGGTTATAAATTTATGTACAAAGAGGAAAAAAAAAACACTTCTAGCTCACCTCTAGGAATTGAGGATGTTTGTTTGAAGCTTCGAATTTTTTATTATTAAATGACAAAATAAAAAATAAAATAAATTAACTGGGGTTAAATAGAGACAAAAATTATCTTTGGTTTCTAGAGTCTAGGTTTAATAGAAAAACAATTAAGGATGAAGCGGGCATTCTGTGGACCCCAGTGAACTCCATCATGCAGAACAGACTCACAATGTCCTATGTATCTTGTATTGAAAATATCATCTAAGAAACAAGTCAACATATTAGAATAGTAGTATTTAGGCATCACTATTTGAGAGTGTATAAAGGTAACAGAGTTCCAGCTAAAGTACAAATTTGGTTGAAACATACTATTGCGTTTCTATAGGAGTAGCAGTTAACAGATAAAAGGAAGAAAAATGTCTGTGAAGAAAATTGAGATGCATGAACTTGAAATTGTTCTTATTGCCAAGGTAACTTAAATCTTAAAAAGAATAATATCTAGCTGGCATCTGGGACAGTAAAAAACCACAGATCTCTGCAAGTCAAATTTGTCATATATAGGGGCCATATCAGACTAGGAATTTTCTTAAAGATAGGAGTACTCATTAAGGAATCATTTGAAAAGAAGGCAGTACACTAAGCCTCTTCCAAATAAGGAAAAGCTGGGTGTAATTGTATAGAATAACTTGGATCCTCCCACTGGTCAAAGAGCTCCCTAGCCTCTTCCAATTATCAAGAAAATGCTGACAGGAAGATAATACAGCTACTAAAGTCAAGAAGCAGGAGAAACACTTGTGGATGAAAACAAAAACACAAACAAACAAAAAAAAAAACAATTGTAGCAAAAGTCACCTTACAGGGTGATCTGATCATAAACTCCTAACTGGGAAGGTCCTGTGGGGTAGTCATGCCCCAGGCATACAGTTTCGTTACTAAAGGCTTATTTTTGCTTAAGCACTGTCCATGTTTCTGTGCACTTGGGTTAACACACCTTTGATACGCCTCTTTTCAGACCCTCCTTCTGAAACATAACTAGTCTCAAGAGAGCAAATAATCTTAAGTAACCCACAATCCAGTTCCCATTTTGCTTTCTCTTGTCTTCATGTAATTTTTTTACATTCCTTCCTTAATTTCAAATACATAAAAGAAAGTGCAAAACATTTATTCTCTGAAGCATTTGAGATCTTGCTTTCCCAGCAAGCACATGTTGTTAGATTGGCTCAAATAAACTCATAAATATTCTATATAGATTGGGGTGTTTCTTAAGTGACACCCAAGATGTTTGAAATGAAGACAAAAATCATTCTATATTTATCCCACTAGCATAGAGCTCTTATTTTTACTGTAAAGGCTTTTAGAAATGGCAGTATTAAAAGTATCAAAATGACACACAGAGAAAATTAACTTAAAAAAATCAAATTTGGATCCATCACTAAAATATCATAAACATGAATTACATGGTAATTGCAGAAAAGCTGTGGCTTGAAAACATCCATTGGAATTATCCCCCAGATTGTTAAATATTTGGGGAATTTCAGATAATAGCACTGGAATCAAATTTAAATCACACAGGAATCCACCCAAGTACATGTCCTTACCATATAATGGCATCACCTTCTTACTTCAGAGGTTAGTGGCCTCCATATGAGAAGGTAGACCAGATGAGGTCCTCATGGTCTGCTGAATGGTAGTCCACACTTGAAGTTGAAATTTATGGTTTTGTATTACACGAGCTCTCTTCAGTAATATAATTTAATGGATTAGAAGGGTAGTTCTCAAAATGTGGCTCATGAACCAACAGCATCAGCATCACCCGCCCTACTGAGCCCCAGAACCACTGGGGAAAGAGAAACACTGGGGACAGGATAACAATCTCTTTCAACAAGACCTCCAGGTGATTCCCATGAGTGCTAAAGGTTGCAATGCTGTGGGCTAGGCATCCAGAGACCACAGTTTTGATTATAAAGTAAAAATATCCCAAACATGACTGGGATCAATGATGAGATGATTATACCTCTGAAGGCATAGTAACACCTTACAAATCTCTATAGGAAACTCATAGAAGCTCATCATAGATGGAGAAGGAGAAACCAGATTTAGGGGGAAAACAAGAGGGATGAGAATAGAAATCAGATGGAACAGGAACAAGGGGAAAGGGGTAACGCAAATGAAAGGAACAGAAATCAGGTGGAAGAAGGCAGACTGAATAGAGTAGAACAATCCAAAAAAAAAAAAAAAAGGTAGAGAAAACTGATGGAGAGGGAGAAACCAGGTAGGGAGAGAAAGGGGTTGGGAGCAAAGAAGAAGAGGGGCATCAGAGTTCAACTGCACCCAAAATATTCTGCCTTAAATATTATTAACTGTGCGTCTCTGGGAAAATTTAAATTGACAGTTATTTTACATTTTACTGTGTGAAGAGTTTACAGGTAGGATTGAATTCGTTGAAATATGGAAACCCAGAGTTCTTTCCCATTCCAGGGAAAGAGACCTCACAGAAAACGCCAACCTTCTTGACAATATAGGCTGGCATATCTTTTTCTTCTTCTTCTTCTTTTTTTTTTTGTTATTGTTCAATTACAATTGTCCCCAATTTTCCCCATTACCTGCCCCTGCCCAGCTCATCCCCTCTGCCACATTCAATCCTCCCCCAACCCCATTATCCTTGTCCATGGGTCCTTTATACATGTTTAGGCTGGTATACCTTAAATTGAGAAATGAGTTGTACCAGTATTCTGTCATAAACGAATGGTAAGTACCGTATGTGTGGTTCAACCATATGAAAACAGTATATATAAAACATATTTAATGGTCATACAATGTATAACCAAAAAAGTCTTAATATATAAAATGATAGATTGTTCACTGATTATATGTGCATACATATATTTAAGTATATGTACATATAGTCCATGCAAATATCAAATTATTTTTTCTCTTATAAATGTTAGTAATAAGAGTTAAGTTTAATGTATTTTATGTATAACTGATGCTTAATGTTATATTTTCACAGAATTAGGAAGAAAGTACTATGTTATAAAAACAGGTGCATATATACATATATATTTTTTAAGGCAGATACCTAATTTCAACAATTCTAGCACATTTCATACTATTTATTCTTACTAAAACTATGTTTGAAATGTAAAATATGATGTAATGGTACCAACTTTTTAGCAAGCTTACCAAAATTTATGCAGTTAAATATATTTTCATCTTTAAAAAGCTAATCTGGATGGCCATATGTTTATTCCAATGATATTGCCATTTCCATTTTTGGAACTTATCTTTTTAAATTGCCTCCAAAACCTCCAGCATATTACTTTAAATATCAAATAGGAAAAATAAGTTTCTTTTTAAGATGAAAATCCAAATAACTTTTTAAGTTGGGTCAGCTCAATAAAATATCAAACTTTAAAAAAATTATTTTACTGAAAGTTAGGTACGATCTAAAAGTGACAATAATTTTTTCCTGTATGGCCTCTGTGTTGTTTTTTATAGGCAATTATAATAAAGAAGTTTTGAAATTGTTATGAACAATCACTTCAATGTAAGACCAAGCATAAAATTGCAAGTAACATAAATTTGAATGGTTAATTTCTTATATTTTTATATCGAAAGCTGCTTTATTACTACATAGACGCTGTGGATCTCATTTATGACTTTAGAGAGGATATAGTATATTTGTGATTTTATGGAAGTTTTTTTAACCTCATTAATGCTGGGGTATAAAACTGACCTAGAAAAAACTGAAACCAAGTTTTACTTTCAAACTAAGAAAAAATTGGCTCTCAATGTGCTTAGGCAGCCAAACAGGAGGTTGAAGGGCAGTACTAAAGCTGTTTAGGTAAAATTATTGAGAGGTTATGGCAGCCTGTGTTCTCTTCAGACCTTTGACATATACATCATATTCTTAATGGTAGAGCCTGGCCTTATTAGCCTCATTTTCATTGAGTCAGGGCTCTCTAGTCAGCAATGTAATTGTCCAAAGAAGCAATTCTATTACTCCAAGTGAAGATATTTTTACTTTGGCAAATGAGAAAGCAGACTATAATGCCAATCATTAGACACATATGAGATGTTAAATATATTATCATTTCCACTAGAGAATTTGATTTCTCAAGAAATACTTGCCTTTAAATCCAGGGACACATGTGCAGTAGAAGGAGACACTTAAAATGATATCAGTTGTTCCATTTTTGCAGGGCTTAGATTTACAATCTTCAGTTTCTATTTCACATATCTTCCTTTTATATATTAACAGACAGCTACAGTTACAGCTGTGCAAATGGACCCGGCAGAGGCTGTGTGATGATGTACTCTGGTTTCCAGAGCAATCTCCAGCATTGAGAATGCAGAATCTGTCAATGTAACTGAGAGAGCAGCTGCATTTGAAACATACAAAAACAAAAAACCCAATTAGTCTTATAAGTTAACATATTTAAAATATTTATTGCATATGTACTCAAATACGCAAGATAAGAAATATAATAAAGATGGCTATGGGGTGTTCTTTTAAAATCTTCTTGTAGAAAATGTCCATATTTAGCAAAATTTAATTTCGCTTATTGTGCAGAATAAAGAATGAGAAGAACTTTTGCTACAGACAGACCTAGATTCAAATACAGGTTCTGGCACTTAATTGCTATGTAACCTAGAATAGTATTGTATTATTAAACCTGCTGAGGCTAAATGACAGGATGTGTGTGTATTTCAGGAATTTGGTAAAAAATAGGCAGTAAAGTTTTATAGTGAGCATTTCACAACTAGCATTTTTTTTTTTTTGTAATAAAAGTGCCTGATATTAAGCTTCTGATTGCCAAGACAGCTGCTTCACTGACCTTTATTTTTAATAAACACATTGCCAGCTGCATCACCAGATAAAGAACCAGGCTGCACAACCCATGAAGCTCCCCTTTTTAGAAAGCCCTAGTTAACCTAGATAACTGACCTTTTATGTCACTCTGCTTTACCCTTCAGGCTGTTATATTCCTCCTCTTACCTTTTACATTCAAAAGAAGAGTGAAGCTGTGAAAACTTAGGCACCCCACTCCACCTTCAACCCCAACAAAGGCTGAATTCCAGGTCTGTTCTCTATCTCTTCACCCAAGGTGCCATTGATCTTGCCACGTGGCCCAGCATGCCACATATTTTCCAGGATCTTAGGTGATAAAACTTGCTTTTCCAAAGCCCCCTGGTGGTTGTCACTGTGGTTCATTTCACAATCATAGTAAGAACCACAAGGGCCAGTCCCACTGTCACATGGGCTCTGGTGGGGAAAATGTGGGTTCCCCGCTAGTAGAATGGGCCCAAACGAGAGGCCCAGGCATTGCTAGCAGAAAGACGAGTGCGCAGGCATTCCTAGCCAATAACATCATTACCCATGGATAGAAACCTACACAAAACAAGATTGCAGTACCTAGTCTCATGCTTAAGAAAAAAGTTTTAATTAATAATAGATTCTATTGATAGTATTTATTCACTCACTTCTATATTTATCCCATAAATATGTATTTGCATTTTCTTTTTTAAAATATTTTATTTATTTATTTATATTTAGAGAGAGGGGAAGGGAGGGAGAAAGAGAGGGAGCAAAACATAAATGTGTGATTGCCTCTCGCATGTCTCCAACAGGGGACTGATTGGGAATGAAACTGGCAACCATTTGGTTCACAGGCCGGTACTCAATCCACCAGCCAGGGCTGTGTTTGCATTTTCTAAGAGACTGGAATTGACCTAAATAAATTGATAGTGAGGTTACAAAACAAACAAACAAACAAACAAACAAACAAACATGAAACAAAAAAAAAAAGAAAAAAACACTTCTAGCTTTACTCCAAAAGATGTGCCCTCTTCTTGCTGTAACATAATGATAATAGATTTTATTTTAAATGCTTGGGTCTCAGTTCTTCAGTGGCCTATAAGGTAAGTACTTGGAAAGCAGCAATCATGGTTGTCTTGTTCACATTGAATCCCTATCACCTAACATAGCATATATGCAAGTATATGCTAGTGTCTAGCACAGAGAGGACCCAAGAAAATTAGTTCAATGAATAATGTTAACTAAATAAACGAGGTGCTGAAAAAACACAGGGAAAGAAGATGGTGATAAGCAGTAGAATGTATTAATAGCTGCAGCTGAATTAAATACAAATATTCTGGGAATTCTTCAGAAGAAATTAACCTTAATCTGACATGATAGGATGATGAGGCAGGAGGAATATTATAATATATTGTTTGTATATATTATTATAGACAACATTCAAACTCAATTTTTCATTAAATGTAGTTATTAATCTAAATGTAGGGCAAAACCAAATATTTTGGGATACTATTTTAAAAAGCTATATTACTTTGAATTTTTAAATATATCTGTCCTTGATATACATGAGTGCAATCCATAGGTGCATTTATTTTTAATTTTTAAGTATTGATTTCAATGAATTTTAAGATCCTGATGAGACTTTTCTTTAATAAACACAAACTTAACTCCCATAGTAATTTTAATTTAGCCAATATTTTTAAAAATATTTTATGTACTTTTCTCTATTATATTTTTTAAAGATAGACTATTTCATGTAAATATATTTGAAATAGTTGCAGATTTAAAGGTGATAGTCAGACTAGCTATCAACAAAAGGGGAATATTTTTCCAGAGTTAGAAAAGCTTTGGTTTTTAACCTATGTTTTATTCAATTTGTATACACACATCTTTTCAGCACCTCAGTTATTTATTAAATACATTGAACAAACATTCTTGGGTCTTCTCTATATCCTAGGCACCACCTCTAGGTAATGTGGATTATAGCCATTTTAATTTGATTGTATATTTATAATATAGCCACATTTATTCCTTTCTATATTGCATGTACTCATCAATAAAGCATAAGAAAAACAAAGCATAAGTTAAGGAAAAGACCTAATTCATAGTGATAATCTTTGGTCTAAAGTAATTTTTAAGTATCCTTTGCCAACTATTCAAAGGGCACTTAAGATAATTATATAAACATGTCAATGAGTTGAGAAGAGCAATGTCAAATCACTTTGCTTGTTATTATTAATGAAAATTAACCTCCTGAACCTAAGTCTTTGCACTCATAAATTTATATGATGGTAGGTGTTTGGAGCCAGCTAGAATGTTAAAGGTCCATTAGTTCAAACCTTTCTTCTTGTATTTGTGAAAAGCTTGGCCATTTAATGAAATTTTCCAAGGGTCATTGAGATTGTTAATGGCAGGCGGTATAGTTAATACTTTCATATATTCCAAGCACTGGCCTTGGAGAGGGAAACTTGGTTCTCATCCTTTTCTAACTTATTTCACAAATAAGTTTCTCTGTGTCCTAGTTTTCTCATTGGAAATTTATTAGTACTACATCTATTTCACAGATGATTAAATTTATTCACTACTAAGCAGGTTATGGTGACCAGAAATATCAAGTATGCATATGTTTATCTGAAATAAAATCACAGAATAAAGTTACTTCCCTTTAGTGACCTCTCATTTGCTCTGACCCCCCACCAAAACAACAACAACACAACAACAACAACATCAAAAACTTAGGTAAAGTCTAAACAACTGTTACTTGGCTTGCGATTCTACCCATGTCACACCTTGTTTGACCATATTTTGTAGAATATTTATTCACAGTGTTCATTCACTTTAAGACATTTGAGTTAGAATGGTAAATTACATAGTGTCCTACATATATTACTAAGATAATTATGTAGTTCTGTGCCTCAACCATACCAGTTTATCATAATGTTAGTTGTTATGCCATAAATATAAAAAGAAAATAAAAGCTTTCCTAAATGGACAAGATATCCTGTGTGAGAATAAAAAAAGCTTATCATTTAATTCTTCCTAGGTTAATCTCTAATTTAATGAAAGTTAAATAAGCCAGGAAATAATGCAGTGATACAGAAATATATGATAATAGTAATAGAGTAGGAACCATGTAAATGGTGAAGAGTGGACATTTCAGAATATATTTTGAAAAAACAATTTGCAGTATTTACTAATCGATTAATTGTAAGAGGTAAGAGAGGAAAATAATTTAAAATGACTATTTCCTTTTCGGTTTTTGCAGATTGGGGCTCTAGTACCTTTTATCATAAAAAAGATTTGGTTGAAGAATATTTTCCGAAGAACTAGGAATCTGCATTTAATCATTACAAATTTGAGGAACTTATTATACACATAAATCCTTAAGTCTACTAATCAATTGGAAATATGAGTCATCATCAATATCTGGATAGTAAGCCCAGAATGGAAAAGCAAGTTGCTTATATCTCCATGTCCTCATAACCTTAAGTCATTAATTCTTTAGCATTTCAAAAAAAAAAAAACAAGTTAGATCAGTATTTTCTGTTTATAATATTTTTGTTTTTTGTGGCATTCTCTTTACTTCATGTAATAGAATTTATAGGCATAGCCTATCTATACACCAAATATTTTGAAAAGTTAAGATAATGGACTCAGTCTAATATAAGAAGATATGAAAAGACACTAATTTGTTACTGAATATGCTTATACATAAAAATAAATCCTTTGTAGAAATGACTGAACTAGAAGATAGAAGTGTGTGCTTAGTCCTTTGCATTCATACAGAGAATTAGCATGGGTATGGCACCTATAATAGAGGCTGATGATAATAGTTATTAGAAATTCAAGTAGGATAATATTATTTTAATACAGTTAACAAAGTCTAATAAATTTCTGAATAAAACATAATATTTCCTTGATTAACATGAAAGTTTCATTTCTTGCTAATCCAATGATTATTAAATTTTTGTAAGAGTATTTTTTGTTAGTACATAAAATGAAGTTCTTGGCTCAGATATTTTTCAAGATGTTTTATATTTATATTGTATTAATGTATGTTGGAACTTTTTGAACCATACAAACCTTGTAACACTTTGTTTGATCATTGAACCATTCTGTGCATTGAAGGATTTATAACATAAATCAACTACCACTCACCTGTTAAAATCAGCTATTTAGGTCAGTTCTACTGATTAGAATGACATTAGAAATTTCCAAATTGTCTCCAAGCTGTAAGAACATCCCTTTGAAAGCCATTAATCTAAAATAAATTTCTCCAGTTTACTAAAGCATTCACCACTTTTTACCCAATTACGTACTAGCATATCAAGCTTTTTTTTTTCATCATAACTAATAATATTCATGTAAATGCTGATATACAGGGTCTGGCAAAATAATGCCTATTTTAAAAAAAATCTTTTATTACAGAATCGCAAGCATGTAATTCTGTAACATAACAATACCACACTCAAGCACAACATATGACATTTTAGGTGAAATTTTCAAATTAAAACTAAATTATTATTCACATTTTATTACCCTACCAACCACACTCAACAACCCTAACTT